GGTTTAGGGTTTTAGGGGATAGGGGTGGCTTGGAAGACTGCGTACCCTTGGGGCTCCTAGAAGTCTGTCTAGTGATCTCAGGCTATAAGGGCACTCTTGGATATCTTTTTTCGATTCTTGTCAGGACTATTGTGAGCAATTCTGTGGTGCTAGGCAGGATTGCATGTTCACTGGAAATTCTTGCGATAAACCCCAGTAATGGCCATCTAGCTGCGTACTCAGTGGGGATGGTCGTCAGAACTATGGCCCTCGTTTCTGTACCTGAATGTCAGGGACCGCATTGTCTGGAGGACTCTTAAGGGACCGTAGATGTGAACACCTTCTGTACAAGTCAGTCATTCTGCTTGGGATTCGGACTAGCCTTTTGCAGACCCCCGGTCTGGCGGTTTTCAGCATCGCCTTTACTTCAGGGCTCAGGGTTCATCACCCATGTGAGGAATGCTCAAAGCTGAAAGCAGGTTGAAGGCTTCTGCGCAGGAGTTTCCGAACCGGTGCGACCCCTAAAGGCATACTTAAAGCATGCGGGGGCGCTCACAAGCAAGGAGCCCGAAAGCCAATTTTTTTTCAAGTCTCCAAGCCCACAAGTCCCCGTGCAGTTTGCGTGGTCCCCACATGCTCCTTCAATACATATCTGGCCTGTAGCTGCTGGCCGCCAATCGAAATTGTGCCTGGGATGGAAGTCTGTGAGTCTGCTGCTGCAAGGTTGGGTGCTTAATGGCAACATGCACATACTTCCGTCAAGCCTCATGAAATTATGACCGCACCACTTCCTTTAATTTAATAAGCCAGCCAAGGAACCTGTATAGGATGCATCATCCTGGTTCGCCTGAGTTTCACTCTTGCAGCTTTTTCAGACTGAATGTATGGATGCTGAACATCCCTATCCAGCATCACCATAACCACGACCGAAGCAAAAGGTGTCAGGAAAAAACCCAGCAATGGCAGGGAAGAATGACAAACAATTGGTAATGCCCGACCCCACTGAGAGTCTCGAATAGAATCATATTGGGGGCTCCAACTACAGAAGTATCCTTGCTGCATTACGCCGCCCGTTGGGGCGTAACTCAGCAACGCCGAATGGTATAGTATGTCGAAGGCGCAGCCATCAACCCCAGCCCCTGAACCCTAGACCGCGGTCGGGGTGCGAGCTCCTGGACAAAAAGGTCCTTAGTGGCGTTGCGTGCTGACACCCGTGGGTGTTTCTCGAACTGGGCGGCCCTAGGGGTTGCGACAAGACTATTTGGGTTCATAGTATCCACAGGTTCCGGAAAGAATATTTTGAGAAACTCCAGCAGTGGAAATGCCAACTGAGTAAAGAGGGAGCAACGTGTGCAATTTTCATTCTCTGCCAACGCAAGGAGCCCCGAAGTCATAAACATTTGGCGTTTAGGGTTTCGGGTTAAGGCTCTGGTGCTGACTGGGCTTCACAGTCGTCTGGGCCTCTCTGCTGACTGAAGACTGCGCGTAGAGACTGAAGTTCGAGGACAAAATCACGGCCCAACCTTCTCCTCCAACACCCACGCGGTTTAGGGTTTA